TATTTTCATATTATCACTTTTAATGTGAAGGATTGAATTAGTTTAGAATGTCTTAGTAATTAAAATGTTAAGAATGAATTGATATGTAAAAAAAATTAAATTAAGACTATTTAAATAATTTTATAAAAGTTTTAAGATTTAAAATGACAAGACATGATGATTTTTTTTTTATTTTTCTTACTCTAATTTTTGTTTAACAAGTAATAATTCTCTTTCGAAATTCTAATTTCTTTTTGTCTAAGAAGAAAATAGTTTTTGTTTAAGGCAAAGTAATTAGAAACATATAAGTTCATAAAACGATATTACAAAACATCATTAATGAATCTCTATGCATCCACAATTTATTAAAGGTATTTTTATTTTTTTTCAAATTAATATTTTTAAATGCAGAGTGCAATTAAAAAAAAAACATTTGTATCAAAGAATCAATATTTTCTCTTTTTTGTTTATTATTTATTAAGATATTCTTAAGTTGGTTTTTCCTTTTTTACCCACAACTTAATATATTTAAAAAAATTATTTTTTTTGTGATTAACCCAAAACTTAAATTCTAACTTAATTTATTAGAAAATACTTATTAGGGGATCCAAGTGTAGGTACAATATATATTTTCTCTCCTTTTTTTTTCCCCCTTTTTTTTGTGAAAGAAGCTTTCTCTCCTGTTTTTTTCATTCATAAATATTTTAAGAAAATAATTTTTGTATAACATTTTTATTTCATTTTTTTATATAATTTAAAGTGTCATTCAAATAATTAATTTTTTTAATTCATAAAAAACTCATAATATTAAATACATTCATTCATTTAATAATATATAAAAATGATGTAAAAACTAATATAAAAAAATTATTCTTAGAGCACTTCTCGATTTTTTAACTCCAATGCATAAAAAAGATCTTCTTTTTATAGTAATAATCATCAACAAATTATTATTTTGCATTTTTCATAACCATAAATAAGGAGTGAATCTCCTAATATTGTCCCCTGCATTAATGGATATAAAATGGAGATATGGCTATCTCTTTGCATATTCGCGTTTATTGTGCGTACAAAGAAAGTCACTCTCTCCATTTTTTGGGACAGTGAAGAAGCAGTAGATTTTTTGCCGAGATCGGGGAGGGAGTGGAGCTGCACTCCCACTATTTTTTTCTCACTTTTTACTCCTCTTCCTCTGAGTTGAGGAAGACATTTGCTAGAGGAGAAGGTGAGCTCGCGATAAAACAGTGGAATTTTAAGTTTTACATGTGAAAGATTTGATTTTGTTTGTTGGGTTTTCTTACTTTGATGGAAATTTGTATGTTTATGCCTTGTCTCTTTCGTTTCTTTTTGTTTTTAATAGTTGATTGGTAGATTTTGGCTTTATGGGTGTTGTTATTCTCAGTTTAATCTCCAGTAAAGTGTAAATCTCACAGTTTCTGGTGTCCCTGCTGCATTAATTATTTTTTTTACTTTTTGAATTTATTTTCATTTTGTAGTTAATTGTAGCTTCAATTAGGCTGTTCTGTTGGGTTCTCTCTTTTTGGACAGATTGAGAAATTAATTTCTTCTTTTTTTTCCATTTATTTGACTAGAAAGTGAGTGAAAGAGATGGGAAAAGACGTGTTGGATTCTCGTGTTTCTTGTTGTTTTTTGTTTCCTAAGGACTTCATCTTTTCAATCTTCTTGTGCGTGGGTTCTCATGATTCAATTAATTGGTGGTGGCTTTACCAAAAGGGTTCTGCTATTTGTTTAACAAGTTCTGCAATATGTTTTACAAGTTGATGAGCAAATCTTTTCAAAATTTCATTTTGTTTGTGCAACAACAAATCCTGAGCAGAGGTTAAACAGGTGAGAACGTTTTTATTCAAAAAGAAGTATTGTGTGATGAAAGGTATGCCCTTCATTCGTATGCTTTTCTAAGTTTTCAAAATTTTGATTTGTAAAGCTCTTTTGTTTTTGGAACATTATGGTTTGCATTAAGCTACTCAATGGATGAAGATGTGTTGCTTTGTGTTCTAATGAAAAAGAACAAGAATGCTTATAAGAAATGGATATGTATAATGTATGAGAACCTGAAGTTCATCCTGTTCAATTTTCAGTTTCACCATGTCAAGGCAAGCTCCACTCCCACCACGTGGGCCCTTCCAGAAGAAGCTTAATTCTCACTTGAATTATGAAACCATTTCTCCTCCCTCACATGCTAAATCCTATATGCAATACCCAAAACAGCATGAGTCTTCCTCCCAAAGCTCAATCTTAGAAGAGAAGCCAGCATGGCTGGATGAACTGTTAAATGACCCTGAGGCAAATTCTAGTGGCATATATCTCCGTCGGTCAGCTAGTGATTCTGTTACACTTTTGAATGATCTCATCAGTTCATTTCCAGACTTCAATCAACATGATGGTGAAGAGAATTATGTTGATGGTGAAACTGGCACCGGCTTGGAGACTGCCTGCATGTATGGTCCTAATTCCCCTAGGAAAAAAGGCCACCCAATCAATTCAGGAAATGCCTTAGTTTCGGCCTTATCAGAAAGCATTTCTCAGGACCATCTGCAGCATGTTGATGGCAGTCCTACTTTTCATGGGATTACCTGTTCAAAGTCAAAGCTAGATCGTTGTGTTCCTGTTGGTGATCACACTGCTGAAACAAACCTGGCAAAGCGGTAATAGGCCTATATAATCCTCATTCATTTGTCAGATTTAAATCTCTTAATTTATTTATATCAATATGACTCTTTCTGCTGCCATGTAAATTTTGAGTACCTTTTTGATACCTGTGGTAATTTCTTGCTTATTCAGTTCTTTGTGGCTCTTCCAGTTAGGTGGTGAAGTTTTTTTTATGGAAACACCCCCCTTCGCTTCTCTTTTTGTGTGTGTGTCTAACTAATCATGATGATCCATGTGTTTTTGATATTGCTGGAAATTTCACAAAATATATTGTGCTAACCATTTCTGAAGTTTTTTGTTTATGTTTGCTCCTTGCTCGGTTTTTTAATGCTTGCCTATTCACTTTTGCTTGCATAAATTTTATAGGCACTCAGGACAGCGCTCTAGGGTCCGTAAACTCCAGTACATAGCTGAACTGGAAAGAACTGTTAACAGTCTACAGGTGATTCCTCTGCTGATATCGTATTCAGCTATTTATAGGTTCAGAATTGCCTTTGTTTTGTATTGTAGGCTGTGCTAAATATGATCTTTGGTATAAACCTTTAAAGCTTCTATGACATTGTTAAGATGTATGTTATCTAGACAGTGAATATAAGATAACATGTTTGAATCTAATGACAGCAGGGCGTTTGTAGTTTAAAAACAACTTCTTGTGTTTTTGAAAATATGTAAGATATTATTATAGAAGCATACCTCTTATACACGTGAGCTCAATAGCATATATATTGATTCTGACTTGGATGTTTATGGAAAGTCATCTCTGGTACATTTTCTTGATCCATGAAATTTATCTTGATCAAAAGAAGTTGAAATTTTATTGCCTAATCTTGTACTTGTACAGGCTTTCATATCAGAACTGGCCACCAGAATTAGTTCTCTGCTTCAGCACCATGTTGCTTTATCCATGGAGAATAGTGAATTACAGCATCAGCTGGCCTCACTGCAGCAGGAAAAACTGATCCTGGAGGGTGAGCTACATTTTTGGTTGATGTTTACCTTGGATTCTTGAAACCAGAAACAGAATAGTTATGTTGCCATAAAAAGTCCACTTCAATAATGGTAGTCTAATTTTATTTTCCTTACCTTACTGCTTTTCTCACGTCCGTAACAGGGCAACACCAATTGCTGAAGAAGGAAGCTGAGAGACTGAACAGTCATTTAGCTGATTCTCCTAATAACAAATTTAGAACATGTTTTGAGCCTAGTGCTGCTACTCAGCCTGCCGGATCGGAGTTTACTTGGCAGAAGTTAGATATGTCAAAGCTCAATCTTAATTGACACAGAAGAATGGCTGAAGAATCAAGGTCAGGTTTATCCTGTAAATGTCATGATTGACGGATTAGTTATGAATGCACATTTCCTTCAATCAGACCTTAGAATTGTAAACTTCAAAGCTTTTGTTGAGATTCAGATTATGTTGGTAGGGAGGTAGTGAGGTGAACAAACAGAAAGTCGAGGTGGAAAACGGAAGGGAAGAAAGAAATGTAGTTTAGACAGATTTGCACATTTACCCCCTTCAACTTCCCCAATTTTTCCAAGTTTGGATGCTTGGAGTCTTGGAGATCATGAAATTAATCTTATTGCGCTGAGAATATTGATATTGTCATGGAATGAACAGTTCCATTTCAATTTATCATATCATGAATCACCAGAAATATTCATACCAAAAAATCATCAGAAATGTTTGTGGAAAGGAAAACCTATGATTAACACCACCAAGGAGAATTTGCCATGTTGATCGTCCTCTCATTTCCCATGCCACCACCTGTGAGGTTCTATCTTGCAGCTGACCATTCAACCCTAGCATGGATGTTCCCATTGACACGGTTTTAACCCTTTTCACAAAATGAGTTAACAAAATGCTTATTACAAACCCATCGCCTAAAATCAATTAAATCATATGATCAATAGAAGTAACTTCTGCACAATATTGTGTACGAGGGCTTGCTCAATACACCTTCCTCGCGTTAATGTTGTATGCAGTAATGCACAAGATCAGCTCATTGCCTAGCTGCGGAGGGATGCTTGAGGAACAGTAGGTAGACCAAATTCATCATCAGCCTGTTTAAGAAAATATGACAAAAGGGCATGAACGAAATGTGACCAAAGCGAAACAACGAAGTCCTTGTCGCAGAACAAAATATAAAATAGAGGATAATATATTTACCTGAGCACTGGCTCTGCCAGCTGGTGCAGCATGTCCTGCAGGTGCTGAAGGCAGGTTGAGCTCTGCACCCGAATCAGGTTCCTCCTTCTCAGGTTGCAGGTAAGAAGGCACTTCATCAGCTTCATTTCCCATGTCAGCTTCCAGAGCTTCAAGTTCTGCATAGAAATAATTAGCACACAAGGTCTACTGATGCAAGGATATGATACACATCAAGTGAAGTGCAAATAGGTCACTAGCTGTTCTTGAAAAACGACCCTGAAAATCTTTCTGTTTCATGGCCAGTTGCCTTCAAAGGTGAAGGTCAATGTTTTGCAACTTATCCACAGGGATTAACCATTAGAAATTAACATAACAAAGTTCTACTGAAATCAAGAGCAGAGAAAATCAGCAATTTTCTCTCATATCTAGAAATTATTAATCTTAAGCTTTCTAATAATTCAAAACTTACCACCCATGAGGTCTTCCTCATCAATGTCGTCAGGCACATTATAGCTTCTACCCAAGGTCTCTTGAATTTCATTACTCACATCCATCAGGTCCATCATCTCATCTTGCAAGTTCTATATGTAAAAAGAAACATGTCACCAGAAGTTATATTTACAAGCTACACTGAAAGCAAGATGCATGATAAAAGATATAAAGAAATCACAGACATCTATGTCTTGAATCTTCACAGTTTTCATCATTCCTTTCAGCTCCTTGTTGGCTGACTTCAAGGCTGACATCTGGAAGAAGCATAGGGACGTTAGAATTTTCAATGAGGAAAGTTTTAATCAAATATTTCACTCAGTAAGAATCCCACAGGGCATATCTCTTCTAAACAGCCAAATTGATGCCTGAATGAGTATAAGAGAATTTAGAACATAGCTCAATCATATATCACATATTTTATAAATAAACCTCTCCCCATTGACAAGTGGTTTATCTCCTACCTCTCATGAGGTAGGCAGCCGATTCCAATTAGGGAACAGATAAAGCTCCGCCTGAATGATCCTGAACTTTGCCCCTTGGGTTGCTACCAAGAAACACAAATATTTTACTGTAAATATATTATAGCCCCAATAAAGCACTACCATCATAGCATAAACATTAAACTGGTACGATAATTGCAAACATACAACAAGGACAAAGTATACATCTAAAGCCTTGATTTTAAACAGAACCAAAAAGAAGAAAGCAGTTGGAAGAACAACTGCACCAATGACGAAAAGCATGCAACAAGATCTGAAGATAAAACTGACCACAAAACAATATCAACAATATCATGTTAAAAGAAAAATTAACAATCAAGTCAAAGATTACTAATATGCTACTCTTATATCCATGGGAATTCTTATTCAAAAATCAGCTCAATCAAATTGTGTAGATTAAGGAAGCCAATTTTTAATTTAACATAGAAGTCCTCAAAGTCTAAGGTCATAATGGTGACATAATAACTCAAGAAAATAAAATCCACGTACTGTTTGCTGAGCATCTTTAAGACCCTCAGCAGAAAATGCCACTTGATCAAGGTTGAATGTCTGATTGTAAAGCATGTCACGCTGCCCTTCATACCTGTGGAAAACCATATCAGTTAGAACAAAATGCGGCAGTTGCAGCAAGAATTATAACACTACTCAGACAAATAAATGTAAGGTAAAATGAACAGAAAATGCTTCTATCACACAAAAAGTTGCATAAAATATCATCAGCATCAATCAATTCAAAAAACTTCAGTGTGGAAGGCCTATTACATAAAAACAATTTGACCACACAGAAGTAACATAGCTAACATCCATCTGAACCCCAGTTCTATAAACCTTCCTTCTTTCTTGCTAATTATGGACATTTCTTTAAGAAGTAAAGAAAGTTAATGACTTTCATTACAAACCCATTAATGGAAAGCTGAATATGACAAGGACATGAAGAAGAATAACCTACATTCGCTTTTGCTTGAGAACCCTCATGGCTCGAGCTTTAATAGCCTCTTGAGCTGGACCTGGTCGTGTCTTTTTAATCTGTTCCTTATATCTACTGAGTTCAGCATCTAGTTTCTTGATCTTGTCTTCCACTGTTTCACCTCTTTTATTGATCTGAAAAGAAACACACAAAATTTTGTGAATCAGTTAGGGAAAAACAACCCCATAGAAATACAACACACTTATCTGAAGCAGAAAGCCACAAATCGATTAACTAAATTGATATCTCAAATTCAACCAGAGTATGCCCGCACGAAACCAGTACAGAAAGAATCAATTAAAAAAAAAAAGCATGAATTCGGAATTGATAAAGAGGGAGTGAAAAGTAAGAACCCTATCGGAGGCATCTTCAATGGAAGGAGGAGGCTCCTTCTCTTTCTTAACACCGAAGATTTTCTTCATCTTCTTCTTGGTTCGTTTCCGGTGGAATCAGAAAGGAGGTTCCCAGGAATTGAAAAAAAGAGAGGAAGAGGGATTATAAATGTGATCGGAAAACAGGATCGCTTTGAGATCAACGAATGATTTTTCGCCGGAACAACAACAAAAAAAAAAACAAGAAATTGCAGAAAATCTTGAGGATTTATAGGGTTTTGCTTAAGTGGATTCGGGTTTATGAAGATGTCCATAAATCCACGCGTTTTGTTCTTTATTGACCATTCTCTTTTCGACACGTTAGCGTAGAGAATTCCTCATGATTCTTTATGGTTGGACTGCACAACAAAAATTGCAGTCCAACCTACAAATTTATTAAAATACTAAATTTATGAATTTATTAAAATATTTTTAATTAATTATTTTATTAGTGAAATTTTAATAATTTTAATGTTTAAATTATACTTTTATTATGTAAATTGGCAGGCAATTTGATCTGAAAACAGAAATTTTATTTTTAATTTATCAAATTTTTCTATGACAAAAGGATATGAACTTCCAACAAATTCAAAATTGAGGATACAAACTTTGGTCAACATGTGTGCTGATCAGCTTTCAGCGATTGGACGCTCTTAAAATTCGAACTTGTGTGTCTTTGATGTTCGCCTTGCGGGCATAGCTTTCTACCTTAATTGGGGTTGAATATCCTCTGAGGCTGGTTGTTTTTATTTTTTCTCTTTATTCACAAAAAACAAAATATATATATATATATTGAAAGACGAACCTAATCATAACAAAATAAAAAGTGATATTATTGGCATAATTTTTTTGTCATATTTTTTTATATAATTTTTATATATCATTAAATGAGTAGATACATTTAATATCACATGTCTCATATGAATTAAAAGAATCAATCATTTTAATTACATATCAAGTTGTACAAAAAAATAAGATAAAATGATTGTTCCAATAACATTTTTCAAAAATAAATTAGATATGTTTGAATTGTTTTTGAACTTAATACAATGTTTAGATATGGAAATAATCAACAATCTTAATATAAGTAGGATTACAAGTAGACGGATGAACAAAAGCAATCTTAATAAGAGTAGGATTACAGTTTACAAACATAAAATAAAACAAAAAATCAATGAGAGGGATGAAAAAAATACAACAACAAAATGAAAAAA